AAAAAAGTAAATCAGAGCTAAAAAAGTGCAAAAACGCAGGCAAATTTGCCTGCGTTGGTCTACATATTAAGGGATAAGACTCAAAGAAGCCAGAAAAGTGTTCTTGTAAGCACATTTATTAATGCTTTTTTCTTCTCTTGCTCTTGCAAAATATACTTGCTAAGGCCTTTTAACCTTCCGATTCAAGTTTATTAGAACATGAGTTTGCATGGTGTTCTTTTGTTAATGCCTTTCTACTTCAATTCACCACAAGCATTGATCATCTGACCGATCCTAATTTCTATTGGTTAATTTATCGTACTGCGAAATTACGCATTGATGCAGATTATTGGTCAACTTAAATAATGTGCCTCATAAAATTTAAAATTCTTCACGGACTCAATAACCCGGCCGGGTTATGAGAACCAAAAAATTAACTTTGCTTGGCCTCATGGACATTGGACCACACTTATCAAGTCCAGTCCAATCCATTGGACCAAAAAGTATTGGACAATAATATATAAATCATATAATCATTATTGAACATATTGGGTCCAAGTCCAACGTCCAATAGCATAAAAATAGTTGGACATATGTCCAGTGCCAACACTGCTTGGCCTTGTATATATTTTATTAATATTTTAAAAAATTTATTAATGAAAATCAATAAAATATATCAAATAAGATACGTATTTTATTATCAAGTATATTTTTATATTAGGCTTAGTGCTGAGAAAAGAGACGAATTTGACAAAAAAATAATATGTCCAAAAAACCAATTATCTTGTGAACTACAGTATTGATTAGAATTACATGATCCGATTTCTTTCATCGAATGTGATAGTACCAAAATTATGAAATTCCAGTCAATAAATACGTAGTTCACGAGATAATTAATTTTTTGTACATATTTTTTTTTGTCAAATTCGACTCTTTTCCCAGCATTAAGTCTATATTATTAATAATATATTTTTTTAGTTTTATTCAAAATATTTCCTATAAAGTTAATTATTTGGCCTATATACATACTTATATATCACATTTAAAACGTTTTTTGAAAAATAATAACAGATATATAATGTATTAACAATAACATATTATTAACCTCGTTAAGAATTTAATTGTAAATTTCTAATTGTGTAAAATTTCAGGAACAATCCAAGTTTCAGATGATTATAAAAATTTCGAATAATATTAACAAACTAATTATCGTTATCGTTATGTATGCTGAAATGACATTCTTTTCGGGGCTGTTAGAAGCCCGGGACGGTTCAAAGAGTCACAGCACAGAGCTTGAGTAATTTGAAAATCCATTAACCAGATTAGTTTCAACGATTAATGCAAAAGTTTCTCGATTTGTATAAGTTTAAAGCCACACATTCATTTGATTGATTTGCCGAGGAAACACTTAATGCTAGCATTCAGTATCGATATGGATAAGTATAAATATATTATTTTTAACACGGGAGAGACACGAGCGAACATGGGGTCCAAATTAGGAAGGCTATTACATGATACAAATTATTGCATAAATTAAATAATTATAATAAATAAACGCAGAATTATTAGAATTATTTATTATTGCATATCTATTTTAAATACGGTAATCATTTCTTCAATCTGTTCGAATATATTAATCGTGATTTGTCTAGCAGTATCTTGCTTTAACTCGCATATATTTACTAATTCAAAATAGGAGTGATTCAAGAGTTTATTTAAGATAATTTTTATAACAACAAAAAAATAATAATAAATAAATAAATAAATAAAATAAAATAAATAGAAAACAAAAATAGTTAAAAGATTTTATTTTACCACGTGCCACGGCTAATTCGTCTTCGAAATATTCTAAAGATTTTTCAAGATAGTCAAGATCTTGATTAGTATAAAGTTGGGATTCTTGAATTTGTTCTATGGCTATAATAATTTAAAGTAAATATTAAAGTAAATATTGTTAAAAACAAATATAGAAATATAACAAATATGTAAATCCCTACATGCTTCAATCGTTTCCAAACGGTGCTGTAATACGAGTGCAAAAACATGAAATGTATGTAAATAATGAACAAGATTGTTAGTTAATATAGCGAATAATGCACCTACATCCATTTCATGAGGGTCAAGCGTGCAATAATTAGTTGACTGCTGTGAAGAAGAGTCATTTGACGATAGTTGTGAATCATTATTATGATGATTCTGATCAGGTGAAGAGAGTTGAGAAGAGGAAGATTCTTTACGAAAAGCTTGTGATAAAGGCAATGTATTTGATGCACGTCGTTTGCACCATTCAGCTAATTTTTCGGGCGTAAGTTTCAAAGTATTAACGTTAAAGTTGAAATTCTTTGGTGCAGACATTATCACACAGACAAAGTACAGGGTAAATTAAGTTAAAGTAGACACAGAGAAAATAATATACTAGATAAAATTGTTTTAAATAATCATCATCATTTATCTGTTATCATGTATCGCTCACTGCTATGACTTCATACGTGATTTATTTTGACAAAATTTGATAAGAGTAAAATTTTATGCTATTTTTTATTTCGAGAATACTAACGCTAATGATAGAAATGATACATAGAAATTATCATCGTTGCTTGAGTAACAGTCATTTACCTCTTTGTGATCAAACAAACCAATCAAAGCATTTTTCTTTGTATTTCAAACGTCACTTTTTTAGTTTCTTTCATGACAAAAAATATAATATAAAAATGTGGAGTCACGAATTTTAGTAAACAAGGTTAAAAGGAATCTGAATTCAAATATATAAATGCAAATTATCTCCATAATTAGAATAAGTTTATACACGAGAGAAACACAAGCAATATAATTTTTACATCCTATTATGCATTCTGTGTAATTGAAATTCGCAATAATGTAACAAAGTCATTGATCAATTTGTTTCTGTATCTTTTTTATCTTTACAAACAAAAAAGAAGGCTTTGCCTTCTAATTTATCCTTCACTTGAGTTTATCTTTTTGGTTCTCTGCCTTCCTTTTTCGCTTAGCCGCTCTTTCTGACTTTTTACTTGTACAGTTTTTTAATCGATATTCGTAGCTATTTACGATCTCACCATCTTACATTTTCCTATTCCTATTCCTTTCCTTTTTTAAACCTTTCTTTTATTAGTCCGGCGGGCCGTTGCTAAATATTTATATTTCCTGTTATTAAAGCTTCTATCTCAAGCTACTATATCGCTTGGCTGCATTTAAATGAACTTTATATATATAATAGATTTTATATAGAAAAAGTTTCATTTCATACCCGGCGTTTTTCGACTCGTATTATAACCCCGTGTTTAATTTACCTCCTACATATTTTAAATGGGTGCCGGCTGTTGTAAAGAAGAGGAAATAGATTTTGATGCAGAAGGTAATTTATTAAGTGAGGCAATATTAAAAAAAAAAAAAAACTTAAAATTTTTTTAATATACTTAGTTTTTTTTTTTAAAAAAAAACAACTTTTTTTGTATTAATTTATGCACAAATGCAGTCGAGTTATCGCATTTTCACTTATTAAGGTCTGTAGGGAAGGGTGCATTCGGAAAGGTATTTAAATATATTGATTGTTGATCTGATTCATCCTAATTTATTAAATCTCTAACCGTCATTTTTTTTATAATTAGGTCCGAGTAGTGCAGCACAAGAGAACAAAAATTATATATGCACTTAAATATATTAATAAAGCAAAATGTATAAAAATGCGTGCAGTGGAAAATATTATACAAGAGCGTCGTTTGTTAGAAGAAATTGAATATCCTCTGGTGTGCAATTTGCGTTACGCTTTTCAAGATGATGAAAATATGTTCATGGTCCTTGACCTGATGTTAGGTGGTGATTTAAGGTTTCATTTAGAACGACAAGCTTTCATGAAAGAAGAAGTTGTAAAATTTTATGTTGCTGAAGTCAGTTTAGGATTGAATTATTTACATTCTAAAAAGATTGTTCATAGGTAATTATTAATCTTTTTTAAATTTATTACTCATTTATTTTAATAATATTAAACTTTTGTCTAATTAATGTAGAGATTTAAAACCTGATAATGTTCTTTTGGATGAGAAGGGACACGCTCATCTAACTGATTTTAATATAGCTGTTCATTTTAATGAGAGAAAACCCCTTACATCGGTTGCTGGTTCTATGGCATATATGGGTAAGTGCTCCATATAGTCATTTTCCGTAATTCTATCACATGATATTTACCCATAAGTCACGTGAAAGTCATATATTTATTTATATTTATTTATTATTATTTTTTATTTGTTTTTTTTTTGATTTTCATTTAGCACCAGAGGTACTGACCAAACATGGATATCTTAATTCTGTGGATTGGTGGTCACTCGGTGTTATCATGTATGAACTTTTATTTAGCAAGGTACGTTTTAATTCGAAATTAATTTTTTTCATCGTTATTTCTTGTCCTAAATTCCGTATTTCCATATTAATTTTTACATTAGCGGCCATTTCGTGGTAAAACGAACGTCCAATTAACACATGCAATTCTTCATGACCCACTTCAATTTCCTGATAATGTTTATGACTTGGTTTCTAAAGAATGTATTGACTGTTTAAAACGGGTGAGTTAATAATATTTCAGACTCTTCTTGTTTATGTATATACACATCAGAGATTAATTCGTTTTGTTAAATTAAAAGTTTTGTGAACGGGATGTAAATAAACGCCTTGGATGCGGTCCAAATGGTTTAGAAGATATTAAACGTCATCCATGGTTTAAAGATATAGAGTGGGATAAACTTGATACAAAACAAGCTAAAGCTCCTTTCATTCCTGATGTAAGGCATATAATTTATATATATATATTTTTTGTATTTTTTATTTAACTGGATTTCATTTTGATTTTTAGTCAAAACGTGCTAATTTTGATGCCACTCATGAGCTTGAAGAACTTCTCCTTGAAGATAATCCACTCAAAGCTAAAAAACGTGCTAATCCCAATCAAGACCTTAGTGAACTTTCAAAAGAAATGAGAATGATGGAGGAAAAATTCTTGATATACGACTTTACTAAGATGTGTAGAAGAAGTTACTACGTAAATCCTCCTGAAAGATCAACTAGGCGAAGAAGTGAAAGAAGCAGCGGGTCTACAACAGTTGACCGAATGATGAATAATCATTCTGGTGCTACAATTCAACTTGATAGTGTAGATACAGATGCTTCAAATCCTTTAAAGATTCAACATCCATCAATGGTAAAACTACCACATGCACGTACTGAATCGGATCTCACTGCTGTAGGATATTATTAAGTGTGAAGGCGGTTAATCGTTGCACGTCCATAGGACTATATAATATATTAAATAATTATATAATAATTATTCTAAATAATTTAATAAAAAATTAAATAATTGTATAATAAAAATTATGGGTTAAGCAAAGGAAAAAAAATATTATAAATTATTTAATAAAAAAAAATTTAAATACATATAGAAATTTTTGAAGTGTTCAATTTATTTTGTAACTATAATAAAATATAATTAATATATAATAAAAAAATATCTATTTAAGGGGGACGTCTAAAGCCGTGTCCAGGAATGACTTCAAAATTTAGAATTACGTAGATTAGTTTAATGTTATAGTGATGGCAATACTTATAGGTAAAAACGCATTTTTTATTAGTACTTCGTGATAGGTTAGATGGGCTTTTTGGTTAAACAAAATTTACAAGCTCATAATCACATGATTAGACATTGGATGGTCCCGGCAAAGACCCGTATAAATTTGTTATACAAAATCTTTTTTTTTAAAAAGCGAGGCCTTGCTTCAATTCTTTATTAAATTTTTAATACATAGGTATATTATATACAGTGTTTTGCTGGACCGTTCAACGAGAATCACTGGAACTTGATTAAATTGGAAGATATATCCGTTCTAGTGGTCAGTTGTCACTAGACTGTTCCAGTCAGTTTTTTTTCACCACTGGAAGGAAGATCCAGTGATGTTCAGTGGTAAAAAAAAAACTTTCGGTAATCTATGTAATCAATATGAATTTTTTAACCTTTACCTATTCATACATTATTAACTATATATTTCTTATTACGACTGATTATGATTCACATGATTCACATAGAAGACAACGATAATTCTGAAGTTTAAATTCTGCCGATCATGTTTGTTTTTGCAGATACCAGCTTTTTTTTTTTTACTTATTATTATTAATTTACTATGTAAAAAATTTGATGCAATAATAAGTAATCTTACATATAAAAATTGCCCATCCTACGGTAATCCATAAAAAAAAAAAAATAAATAGTAAATATTTATGATCTTTAGGTTAAATGGCTAAATATTCCGAAAATTTTCTACTGATAGTCATTTCCCCGCATGTCATTTCTCCGACACTTCAATTTCCCCGACACTCCGCTTTCACTTACCCGACATATCCATGTATTTGTTTAATCGGTTCTAGTTTAATCTTATTATAACCCCGACACGCATAATACCGACAGAGATAGAATCTCAACAAGTCAAGACTTTGACAATGACAAAATCTCGACAGTTCAAATGTATATCAAGATTATAAACTGTCGGTACTTGAATTGTCGAGATTTTGTCGAGATCTTGACTTGTCGGGATTCTGTTCCTGTCGGAATTACGCGTGTCGGAATTATAGACTGTCGGGATTTTGGATGTTGGGAATTTAGAGCAGAATCTTTTATGATCTCATACTCCTAATTCATTTCATTTAACCAACGAGTTATTAATTCAACGATCACTATTGGAGTAGATCGTTTATCAAATCTTTATCCATACATTTTATAGCCAGCCTAATATAACAATCAGACCCTAAACATTTCCATCGATAATTCTTACTCTTTGTCCGGTCGAAATCTCAGTTGCGATTGTAAATTTTTAATGCCTGAGTAATACAGTTGATTCACCAAAACCTCGGGTGCTACATATGGCAGAATTCCACAAAATTTTCTTCTTTTACATTTTTAGAAAGTCCAAAATCAATACGTAATATATGCGTATTGCAACTCAGGTTGCAAAATTTTTCTGTTGTGTAAATCTGTGAACGAGTTCCTGCGAATAATCGACTCGAGATCCAAAGCCATATACTGTAGTGTAAGACACTCATTTTATCCTTCCATTCTGATTGTGTTACTTGTACAAGAATTTGTCATAACGAACGTAATTCATAACAATAATATCGTAATCATTTTTTGGGTTCCATGTCATTTGCCCGACCAAACAATTTGCTCGACAACAATTTAACGACAACCATTTCCCCAACAATGTTTTTGAAAATATTATTAGAAAAATAGTTGTCGAGCAAATTATTATCGGGCAAAAAGGCAAATTGTTGTTGGGCAAATGACATGGAACCCATTTCTTGACACTCCAAGACAGTTCAAGAACGAAAGATTCTCGCAACCAATTTCACAACAATTCTTCATCGTAATAAAGAGAAGAAATTTAGCAGAGTAGGATGAGGTGTCCTCGGCTTGATTAGAATTTTATATTATAGAATTTTTATTTGCCGCAAAATACTTTGCTGGTTGATGTGCCACAAACCTAGCACACCGAAAGTTACATTTAAATCTGTGTTTCTAGATAATATTATTGACTATTCATATATTTTTATTGGTCAATATATGGTTCCAGTGAAGAAATTATTCCAGTGGGACTTCTTATTGGAACCACTGGAGCACTGAAATAATCTGACTGTACTACAACATAATCTAACAAGTATACACTGAAATTCTAGCATTACAGGCAAAGTTAATACGTAATATATACAATACAATAACAAGGAGTCAAGGTGTTATTTTGGTACAATACAGCAATATGGTAATCTATTTAAATTTATATTAAGCAATAATACGTACGTATACGTACGTACGTATAAAAACTTATTTATTATTTATTATATATTAAATTTTGAAAAGTTTACTTATATGCTATACGTATCAGCATACGTATTAAAACTTTTATTAATGCTTGATTATTAATATATATACTGATAGACCTCTGAGTTTTTAGTTAATAATGAAAAAATTAATAATGCGTTATTAATATTATTAATAGTTAAAAACTTCGATCATCGCTAACGATATCGATATGATGTATTAAACTATCAACGGATTTGATCAAAGTTTAGTCCACAAATATCTGAGCAATTATTTGACGCAACTTTTCGTTTTTTTAAACATCCTGTACTAATTAGCTGCGCCATATATTATTATGTCGTTATTAGTTAATAATTGTAGTCACAAGTGTCCTGTACATTTTTATCAATAATTTTGTTCATGTGAATAAGGTATATTTCAAATTATATGCCAAATTTATTTTAATGAACTTCATGACTATGGGAGAAAATCTTATATTTCAGAAACTCAGTTGAAAGTCAGTCCAATTTTTTTAGTTTAATAGTTCATATTTAAGAATGATTCGAATATTTTTTGGTGTAAAGAACGAATTACATTACGTACTTTTTCAACCAATTTACAATTACCAGAGCTGTACGATATGGATATAAAAATATCCTATTTCATTATTTAAAAATCTGTACCATACTGCCCGGTGTTATACTGGTATAGAGATTATTAATACAAAATGCATATATAAATGCATATATTTTGCATTAAAGAAAAAAAAAGAAGACCATTTAGTGACTTTTAGAACATCCGAGTATCGATATTATTAGGGTTAGTTAGGATTAGTGCTCCTAACGGGTTTGATCTGAACAACCTGAAACTGATCTAATTATAATAAATTTAGTATAATGTCCATATAATAAATTTACTATAACCGTTAGGGAAGATAAGGTTTTTAAATATACTATACTGATCTGGGTTTTATCGAGAGTTTGTCAATATGAAGGTATATTAATATAGATATTTATTATTTTTATTTCTAACCATAATCGTGGCACAAAAATTTTCGGTCCCATGATCTCGAGCTAATTGGTTTGTCGAACGGAACCAATACAACGTAAGAAAAGATTAATAATAAACTATTCAGAGTAAAGTTGGCAGGTAAAGTTTTTTCTAATTTTAGAATTTTCGAACAAAAATTTAGAATAGCTTCTAAAATAAAACTATGTATTTGAAAATAGAGAATTCTACCAATACAACAAATATGTGACTTATCTCCTTATTGGCATAGCAATGATCGATATAATTACTATATATATATAAATCGAGTAAAATTAAATCCTTATAATTAAATTATACAAAATATAATTTCAATATCATATTTTATTCTTGCTTTGATGTATAATGTATTCAAAGTACCAATTATTTCATTTTAAATCTTAAATCGGGTTAAGTAAAATAATCGATATCATAGGTGATTAGTAATTATATTTTTTTCACAACAGTTATGTAAAAATGGTTTCGATTTAGAGTTTGAAATGAAATAATTATCTGAGAAATTATTTAATACCAATATTGTAGCAAACATTTGAAATGGTAGACTATGAGGAGCGAAAATAAAAATCAAATTATAGTTAAATGATTATCATTTATCTTTGTTAAAGTTTAAAAACTTTTAACAAATTTTGATAATATTCGAATACTTTGTGTTTATTCTTTTTAATACCCCGATATTAATCACCACCTATGACTAAAATATGGGTCTTTGCTTTGAAAATTACCTGATATTTTCAATCAGGCTAATTTGGACAAAATTAAACCCATGTATTAGTTCATATTTATATGTAAATACTTTTTTGTCTTTATTAACTCAGTTTATCGAATAAACTATTGAATCAATAAAGACAAAGGAAATTTACATATAAAAATGAACTAATACATGGGTTTGATTTTGTTTGAATTGGTGATTTTCAAACAAAGATCCTATATAACAGTATTGTTAATTGGAAGTCTAGTGATGATTACTAGAATATACCGTAAACTGTCATATACAAGACCCGGGTTTAATTCATTTTACCAATTGTAAAACCAATAATTAGACCCGTGGGTCTCTTGTATGAGTGTGGGTCTGATAATTGGGTTTATTTATTTTATTGGTTTTTTTCTATTTGTATATTCCGGGTCTCTTACATTTTACCAAAGCTTTATCCTATGTTGTAGACCATATAGGGGTCTGATATCTGTGAAGTCTTGTATATAGCAATTTATGGTAATAGTTCTAGTACTAAGTTGTTACTAAAATCTTTTGCATCAGGAAAATTTAAAACCTGATTATAATCAGTTTCAGGCAGTTAATCGATTATAATTGATTAATTTTAAGTGACTATTATAGGTAGGATGATAATAATTGATTTAAATCAAATTGATAA